GCTCTGGTCAAGAACTGATCTCAGGAGATTACGATCTGGTTTGCCTGGTAATCAGAACAGGTAAAGGGGCTCCTTTTCACTTCTTTCAGTAGCCTTGTTTGATTCTCTCTAAAAGCTAATTATAACTTATGTATAAGTATATTCTGTGTGTATACACACACACACACACACAAGTATCTGTATCTATTTTTAGGGAATCACTAATTCCAGAAAGCTTCATCCACTTCCGCCATACTAGAGCAGGAACAAAGATTCAAAGCATGGTTTTTCTTCTAAAAATCACTGGCCCTCAAGCTAGGTGTTATCTTTAGGGAGTAATGATTAGTACCATTTGTTCACTTGTAAATCCATGAGAACATTCATTGGGTTCAATACTGATAATTTTTCAGCACCGTTGTTGTCCTGTACCATCAAGTCAGTCAGAAGTGACCCATAGCTGACAGACCCTCTGGTGGGTTTTCAGAGGCAGTTAATTGCACGGGAGGAGACTGCCCATCCTTCTCCTATGGAACAGCTGGTAGATTTGAACCTCGTGCCTTTGGGACTGCAGCACAGCTTCTTGCCACTAAGCCACCTGAGCTCCCTCTTCCCTCAGCATTATTACTTTAAAAATCACCCCTCTAGACTAAAAGAGCTCACAAGTATCTCTACAAAACATAAGGAGGAAAAAAAGAACATAAGGCCAAGTTTTACCTCTCAAAACACTGACATTTCAGCACCTTTTAAAAGAAATTCTAATAAGCACTCTAATTATCCCAAAAGGGTTGATTTAAACAACTTCACCTTCCTTAAACAGTACACTGACAAATACAGTGATTGTTCATTTAATCAATTAAAGTGAAAATATGGACCATGCGATAGGTTCAAATTAAGCTCGGATCTGGTTTCTTTTAAGTACACAGTAATTTTGAAGAAATGAGATTTCCTAGTCATTCTGGATAGCACTTCATAGTTTGTGTATCTCAAAACCTTTCTGTCATTTACAACAAAGGATTCCCCCCCCCCCCCCCCCCCAGCTAACAATCAAGCGAACACAGACAAAATGTGTCATTCCAGTATCCTGGATGGTCTGCAGAGCATAAAGATTATCCAAAACGACTGGAACATACATCGACAGTGAACTACCAGAAATAGAAGCTGGGTTTAGAAGAGGCCGTGGCACTAGAGACATTATCATCAATGTCAGAGGGATCTTGGCAGAGAGCAAAGAGTACCAGAGGAATGTCTGTGTATCATTAACTATGCAAAGGCATTTGACTGTGTGGATCACAATAAATTGTGGCTAACCTTAAGGAGAATGGGTATTCCAGAATACTTGACTGTGTTTATGCAAAACCTATACTCAGACCAGGAAGCAATCTTCAGAACAAAGCAAGGAAACACTGCATGGTTCAAAATCAGGAAAGGAGTGTGTCAGGGAGGGATGCATCCTGTCTCCATAACCTTTTCAATCTATCTGCAGAACAGATCATTCCAGAGGTTGAGCTTTATGAGGAGGAAAGTGGCATCAGGACTGGAGGAAGATTCATCAACAATCTAAATTATGCAGATGACACAACCTTGCTTGCTGAAACTGAGGAAGACCTGAAGCATTTGCTGCATGAAGTACAGTAGTCTTGACTGAAGCTCAACATCAAGAATACAGATTCTCTGATGTATACTGCATTGAAACAGATGAGGGAGAGATCTGTTTAAACGGAATATATTAATGGATATTCTTGTCATTACAGAAGTCCAGCATGAAGGCTGCATAGTGGAGTGGACTTGGGGGGAGGGACTGTATAACAATGAAAGAGGTTTTCTTTTTCTTTTCAAGGAGAAGAGTGATTTGGTGGGAGGAGGTGGGAAGGGAGAAAAGAGCAACAATCAATGACTGGAAATCCTAAGTCTCTGTAAACTTTCATTAAAATTAATAAATAAAATTTTTTTAAAAAGGAAAAAATAAAAAGAATACAGATTCTCACCACTAGGCCAACTGGCAACACCATGACAGATGGAGAAGAGATTGAGATTATTAACAATTATACCTTGTTTGGCTCCACAATCAACACTGCTGGCACCAGCAGTCAGGAAATCAAAAGAAAAGCTGCACTGGGAAAATCTGCAGTCAGGGACCTCTCTAGAGTACTAGTCTGGAAACTAACGTGCGCCTGATGCAAACCCTGGTCTTTGCAATTGCTTGCTATGCATCAGAGAGCTGGACAATGACTTAGGATGACAGAAGAATTTAATTTATTCCTTCGAGTTGTGATGCTACAGAGAAGTCTTGAACATACCATGGACTGGAAAAAAACTGAAACCAAGTTTCTCCCTGGTCTCAAATACTTTGGGCATGTGGCCAGGAGGGACAGATCCTTGGAGAAGGATATCATGCTTGGAAGGGTGGGGGGACAGGACAGTGCATAAGAGGAAAATCCCAGATGAGATGGATTGATACAGTGGCTGGGGCAATGGGGGTAGGTGTGTTGGGAGTCAGTGAGACTGGCTTGGGAGAGGGGAGGCTTCAGAGCTGCTGTACACAGTCGACAGCACGTAAAAACAGACTGAAAGGAAGGAGAAAAGACATGGCCTTCAGCGTAATCTATTTTTATCAAATAAACAGTAATTTACTTCTAGGCAAGCCTCCTGACCCTGTCCCTCACTCATGCTGCAGAAGGAAGTCTTTCTCCTTTTCCAACAAAGATGGGTAAATGCTAAGCTCTTACTGAATTATCTAAACTAAAAAGCAGAGAAACTACCCTCTTCTTATAAAGAATTTAGACAGGGGACTTCCATCCTAAAATTTCTCTGAAAATCATCTACTCTGTTCATCTTGACCTCCTTAAAGGACACTGTTCAGATTAATGTAATATGTGGTCAACAATGAAAAATGAACAGTTTAAGAGCCCATGTCACTGGTAAGTATGACCACAATACATTACTGACTTAGTGTGTGTGTTTTCATAGTATCACGATAATGCTGCCTGCGGGGAGAACTATGGATGAACTGGAAGGTCAGTAAAGCACAAGAGAAAAAGGCCCCTTTTTTGCACTTGTAATTGAAAGGGTAACAATCAACCAGCAGATATTCAGAAAGTACTTGTTAGGTGTCTTGCTCTCTGAAGGTGCAATTATCAGGGAAGGGAAAAGAAGATATAATCAACTAAGCAAATAAGGATGATGATACAGCTGTAGCTTTAAAACGAGAGAGACTGGTGGACAGGAGAATTAGTCATTGGAGTAGGAGGAACTTGAGGTAGGTAACTCGAAGATAATGCAAACGTGGGAGAGGAAGAAAGGCTCCCCTGGGTACCGGGATGTTATACAAGCAAAGGCATCCAAGAGGGAAATGTACAATGTGTTGACAGGACAAAACACATTGCTGTTACTGAAGATGAAAGAACCTCTGTGAGGAGAGAAGTTGCCCCAGGCCTTCCACAGATATAATCAACTCACTGGCCAATGAGAGGTCACGAGAGGGGAAGGCATGAGAAAAGCAGAGTCCAGGGCAGGAGCCCGGTGTCCTCAGGCACCGTGAACACTGCAAACAGGCTGCTGGGAATACGACTGGGTACGAGGGTAACTGGGGCAGGTGGATGGACAACGCCACACGGCCAACCTGAGACCACAGACCTCAGCATGCTTGCAAAGCTGGCCTTTGATTGGTGCCTGGGAACCTGGAGCTCCTCGTCCCATTTCCGCCCCCCGCCCCCCCCATTCTGTAACTCATACAAATGCCTCACCATACAAAAGTGAGTAGTTTTGTACAAACTCTTATTTAAAAAAAAAAGACGACAAAAAAAAAATGCAGCTTAAGATGAACATCAACTTTCCTTGTGGGAGTTTGGAATTTGGGTACCTACGGAGGACACCATTAGTGAAAACTCTGTATCTCTAATGAGTCGCCCTAGTAGACAACCTTTCACACATGTGACCACAAAAACAAAAAACAAAAAGCCAAACAAAACCTCACAAAAAAAATCAAACCCTGAAGGAATCAGTAAGTCCCAGATCTCCACAGGGAGACGGCTCCTGGGCAGGCGTGCCTGGCTCCCTCCAGTCTTCATTTCACAAGCCTTGTCCCTTAGATCTTGCTTTGTGACCCCTCACAGTGACAGACAGGTCAAGTTCTGTAAGTCGTCCCAGCAAACTGTGAACCGAATGTCATCTCTGGGACCCCCCCAGCACTGCAGTGGAAACATTGCTGACATGACTTGTGATAAATCAAGTTCTGTAAGTCATCCCAGCAAACCATGAACTGAATGTCGTCTTTGGGACCCCGCAGCACTTGGGTGGAAACCTTGCTGGCATGACTTGTAAATCATCAAACACGGAAATGATGAAAAAGCGTGCCTCAATGAGATCTAGGAGCATTTGGGTTTGTTAAGTCATTTCCTGACTAGCAAGAGTCAGTACCTGGTTAACAAAACATTTCAAAGAAACATGAATCTTTCTTACTCTCTTCCTAGTCAAATATTCTAGTTCCAAAGTTCAGGCAACTTACAAGTTGAATATCTAATTTAGATCTAACAAAAAGAACATAAGAAAAGAAGAAGGTGAAGGACATGAGTCCATACTTAGGTTTGTATGACAGGGACCTCCAGTTCTCGGTTACGTGTTCACACAACTGTAACCCTTAAAGGTCTCCAGTCAGATTCAAAGCTCACTGCCTAGACCATTCATTCTCAGGGCGTTCAGGTCCAATGTTTAATGTTTCATACAGGCTTGATATTATTTGGGGGGAGGGGCAGGATTTGTATTTACCTTTGTAACATTTATCTTGGTGTTACAAACAATAGGTAAGAAAGCAGACAAAAAAAAAGAGGATAGAGTAAAAATTGTACTTCTATCATTTAATACACCCTCAGGTATTTCTACCCCCTCAGTGGGTCTGCACAGCCGGGCACAGGGAAGGACCCCATGTGCACAGCAGTGGTCCTCAGTGTTCCTTTGATCAGAAACATTAGCATCAACTATAAAGCATCAGAAAGGCACTCTCTCAGGCCTCACCCAGGACTTACCCAATCAGAAACTCCGGGGGTGAGGCACTGCTTTCACTGGACCCGTGGGTAACTAGAATGCACACAGTGTGCAAGCCAGGGCTGGGAGACCAGACAAACAAGCACAGGAAGTCCAGAGCAGGACGTCTGAGCCTGGGTGCTAACAACATTCCAGGGTCAGGTCCTGGGCGGTTTTGGGCGGTCCTGCCAGGGCGTTAAGCATCACCCTTGCTGTCCACTAGAAGCCAGTAATCCTCCTCTCCAGTCCTAACAGCCAAAAGCGTCTCCAGATGTTGTCAGATGTCCCCTTCGGGCAAAGTGTGCTTGAGACCGACAAGTGGATGCCTCCCTTCAGCACAGCCACGCCTCTGACACTGCCTCTCATGATTCTCACTCCTTTCAGCTTTCATCAAATGAACTCTCTTCAGTGAGACCCTTTAGCTGGCAAGGGTCACTTTTCTGAACAGTGAAATGAGGTAGAAAGGTACGAGCCAGTATTTTTCAGACCCTGACAACTAAGAGGATGGAAGGAAGATGAGACCATGGCTGCCAGAGGGGCGATCGCTGCTTGGCACTGCCTGAACTCAGCTTCTCCAAATGTGCAGAGAGATGAGAACCTCAGCTGGGTGGAAAGACCTAGAATCTCGGAATCAGACCTCCGTTCAAATCTGCTCACTCACTAAACAGAAGGTCTTGGGCAGTGGTTTCAATGGCTTTGGTATCTGTCTCTGGCCCTGGCAAGTGACAATCGGAATACCACGCCCACACTACACACCTGACGACACTCCCTGGCGAGTCTGGGGCTACACCTGCAGCTGAACGCACTGCTGTCTCTGCACAAAGACCGGTGAGTGAGAGACAAGCCCCATGGACCGTGTCATCTGTTCAGTTCAAGCATTAGCACCAAGGGAGTTTCTAGGCCCGGCTTATAGAAACAAAGCGCTTGACTTTTAGATGCATAGAATTTTGGAACTTCCAGCAAAGGAAGATGGCCCACATCTGCCTTATGAGGGGACAGGGGATTGGGTGCCCCATCTCTGGGTCTAACTCTGCAGTGGAAGAGAGGGGTTCTCCAAGGTAGATGACAAGTGCTAGCTGAGTGCAGGAAGTGACAGGTGTGGGCACTGCCTCAAACCACACTGGGGAGAAGGGGCTGCTGTCGGTGGGCAGCTCAGGGGAGTGACCCCAGGGCCTTTGTGACCCATGGCTGACTGCTGCACGGGAGATCAAAGCACTGACCGGTGGTACTGGACACCAGGGCCTTTGTGACCCATGGTGGAATGGTGGACTGCTGCACAGGAGATCAAAGCACTGACCAGTGGTACTGCTACTACAACTCTGATGGTGCCATCTGCTTTCTCTGAATTCTCTGATGTTCTCTCACTGCCCACAAAATAAGGGCCAAATTCCCAAGCAGCCCTTCCAGGGCGCCGTTCCTCCCTCCTGCCATGCCTTCCACACCCCGGGACTCCACTGCCTCACAGTCACTGTTGTCACCCGTCCTGTCCTTCTTCCTAGAATGCCCATCCCTCCTTCCTGCTTACAGAGCAGTCCTCCAAGAACGTTCCATCCACATCACCCCTGGGGACGTTCCTGGGCCCAGCCCTAGCCAAGGAACGTCCTCTCCCCGTCCCGGGTGCAGAGGGCCTGGGACCATCGCTCACTGTTCATCGAGTCCTCTGAAAACTGCACTCAATGTCAGCGGTCTTCCTAGCCCGCAGCTCAGGCACGAGGCTCTGCACATGGCAAGTGTCCAACAAATGCTCGTGGATGAATAAGGCCAATCAGCACTCTGCTCCCCAGACACTCCGGCTTCATCAGGTCGGAGCCATAAAACCCAGTGAATCAGAAGACAGACGAAGGCAGGTACTGTGGCTCCCCAGCCCTCAGTAAGTAGAGCATTTCTGTAGATAAAGGTAAGGATCGAGGAGGAAGAAGGGCCGCACACAAATGTATAACAAGGTATAAAAGCACACCTACCCCCACTATTCTAGTCACTACGTCAATCCATCTCATCCAGGGTGTTCCTCTCCCGCACTAACCCTCTACCTTTCCAAGCACAATGTCCTTCTCCAAGGTCTGCTCAGTCCCTCCTGGCAACATGACCAAAATATATGAGACAGAGTTTCAAAATCCTTGCCTCCAAGGAGCAACCTGGGTTCACCTTCTCCAAGACAGACCTGTTTGTTCTCTTGGTGTGTGCGCTTTCATATAATTTTACTATATATTTTATAATAAAATGTATTTATTTAAAAAAAAAAGTGGGAGGGAGCTCTTGTGGCCTAGTGGCAAGAAACTGCACTGCAATCGCAGAGATGCACAGTTCAAATCCACCAGATTCTCTGCTGGAGAAGGAGGGACAATCTGTCCTGTCAGATCAGATTTGACGGTACACACACACAAAATAATAAATAAAATAAAAAAGTGGATGGCACTTTAGAGATGGGCCCAAGCCATGGCGTTTTTGACTGCTTCATTTGCACGTTAACGCTGGAATAGGAGTAAGGAAGAGCAAAGATGAATTAGTGCATGTGAATCGAGGTGCCGGCAAAGAATACTGAGGACCCCACAGACTGCTAAAAGGACTAAGGCATCTGTCTCAAGAGGAGTGCAGCCACAGAGCTCCCGAGAAGCAAGAGCAGCGGCACTTAATCGTACATGTTTGGGGTACACTACCAGGTGTGGGTAGCCCGTGGGCAAGGACGTCCTGCTAGGAAAAGCAGCGTCAACAAAGGAGGGAGCCCCGCAGAGAGCTGGACTGATGCACAGCAGAGGCTGTACCGACCGGCCAGGGTTTGTTCGGGTGTACGGTGGGCCGCTGTGTGCTGGAGCCGATGTCGCAGCACCTACCACCAACGCAGCCAATGAGAGGGTGGGACATCCTGCGTGGAAAGGTGGAGGGTCGAGGAGAAAGAGGGAGACCCTCAACCACATGGATGGACACAGTGACTGCTACAACGCGCTCGAGTGGGTCGGAGCTGATGAAGAAGGCACAGGGTTCAGATCCATTGTGTGTAGGGTCGCGATGAGGCCTAACTGACCTGACAATATCTAACAACAGCAACATGAACAAGCCGCCATCATCCACCAGTCAAGCCTTGTGTCCCCTTTAAGTCTCACAAAAGGGGGTCCTACCAAAGACTGTCCGATCTTCAAGGAGACTCTGCGCCCCTAAAATACAGACTAAAAAAAAGCCCAAGGCCTCTAGGCATCCCTCTGCCCTGTGACTTGGCAGGGGCATGCTGTGGCCCAGAGCTATCTGAGGCTCCCCTAGAATGGATCAGTCCCAGAGTAGCCAGGGAATCACTCTAACACCTATTTCAACTGCGTCCAGCCAGTAAGGTCAAGTGCCCAGCCACTGACCCAACATGCATGAATCATAAACAAAAGAGTTGCCTGACACCAGACTAGCTTTTATGAAGTGCTGTCTGCATCTACACGATCCTTCGCCTTTTTTCCAGAATCTCTCTCTCCCACCCGCATCCATACAGGCCCTCCACCCTCAGGTCCACAGAGTGGGTCCTCAAGGTCCCACTGGTTCCCGTGAACAGCCAGCCAGGGACCACTGCCTGCTCACTGCAAGCTCCTAACCGCAAAGGGGAAAAGGCACAAAACCAAGACACAAATGGTCCAGGCTAAAGGTTCTCTCCTCCTCAATGTAACTTACTTCAAAATAAAGATTCCACCTCCAGCAACACAATCCAAGTCACTGAACTGCGCCCGCTGAGACAGCTCATTTGCTACGTGTTCTGTGTATATTCATTACTGGACTCACAGCTGACTCTACAACGAGTTTTCTGAAGCTCTAAATCACACAGACTCTCCTCGGTTCTCTCAGAGCAGAGCAACGCTTTACCCACCAGGCCCCAAGAGCACCCAGGTATTGTTGCTGTCATTGATTGCCTTCGAGTCGAGCATGATTCACAGGGACCCTATTAACCAAAAGCTTGAAGCCCCTATACAACTATTGACATTTATCAAAGTTCATAATAACCAGGTGTCTTAGTATCTAAGTATTTGCTATTAGCAGTTGCGACCATTCTTTATAACAAGGAAACACAAGTATTAGTCATTTCCTCCATATTTCCAGTAACTTTAAGGGCTTTAAAAGTCTAAAGCTTTAAGATACTAGCACTCCAATCCGATCATAAAGCCCCAGGAAGACCAGAGAACTGAGTTGGGGAGTCAGGGATGCATTTCTGTACGGTCTTCATGACTAACTAGCCTCACTCCATTCTTGGATAAAATGTGAAAACTGGATGAGATCAGTCTTTCCTAAACGGTAATGATGAACATCTATGTAATATGTTTCAGATACACATAAATGAGTGAGTTTCATTGTTAACCGCTAGTGGTTTATCAGTTTATAGTGATATCGATTTACAATGAATGTTGGCGCTGTATTTCCTTTTTAAATATGTGTTTTGTTTTTTCAAAAGTGAGTCACTTTTAGAAAGTCTATGAATGCAGAGATGGTTCTAGCACCTATGCCAACAATAACCTGGCTGGGGATTTAGGATTCGAACAAAAAATCCAGTGTCCTCAAATAGATCCCAACTCCTAGCAGCCCCACCGGACAGAGAAGAACTGTCCTGTAAGGTTTCCCAGTTCTGCTTCGTACACAGGAGCAAGCTGCCTCCACCGTCTCCTCACATGAGGGTTGGTAGGTTAGAACCAATGACTTCTCTGCTAGCAGTTCAATGCTTAAGTGTTGGAGGGGGTGGTGGAGAAAGGAAGACACAAACCACAGAACAAAAAGAAAAGAACTAGTAGAAGGAAGAAAATCAGAGCTCCTACAAGCATCAGAAAAAGACTCATCCAACAAGATAAAGGTAAATAATCCAATAGAAAAATGGGCACAGGATATGAACAGGCACTTCACTGAAGACGACATTCAGATGGCTAACAAACACATGAAGAAATACTCAAAATCCCTAGCCCTAAGAGAGATGCAAATTAAAACAACTATGAGATATCATTTCACCCCAGTCAAAATA